TAGTAGGTGCAGAGAGACTGAGAGGAGGCGATTTGTCCAAAGGCCTTGCGGGGATATACAGGCCTGGGCCTGAGGTCCTCACGATCCTTTGTTCTGTAGCCAGTTCAGCCTTCTGTACATTTTTTAGAAGCGAAGGCTTACCCCCGCTCTTTTTTTCTTGTGGTTTATCCTCTTCAGTGCTTTCCCATAGGATGTCCGTTCCTCTCTCCTTTCCTTAACTCTTCATATCCATGTTCAAATGAAATGGTCCACTGTTGTTTGGGGGAGTTACCATCCATTTGACCATGAGATCGTCATTGCAGCTTCACAGGAGAAACACATGAAGAGTTCTTTGAAATTATGAAAAAAAAAAATATTTTTTTTCCCAATTAACCCAGTGCCGTAGAATGACAACAGACGATCGAGAAAAAAGTCGCTGAACTAAAAGTCTGGAGAACTAAGTTCTCTCCATGGTGCCACTTGGCATGTCAGTGTCACAAGTTCTACCTAATTACATGGTAAAGCAATTTACATGAGCTGGTGTTGCATGATCACAGCAAGGGTATGAGCTGGATGCCAGGAAGTGAGATTGTTTTATTAACTGGCTTGCCTGGGGTTGGTAACTTTACTGCTCTGGGCCTGTTTCCAGATCTGTGAAATGGGTTGCATAGTTTCCTAGAGTTCTCATTTCCACAGAGGTTCCTCAGCTCCCTGGGAGGGAGACTCAGGACAAAACTTCCACCCCACCTCTCCTCACCATGTTCTGACTACCCCTACCCCTGCCTACTTCACTGAGGCAGCCTCATGCTTACTTGTTTTCTGTACTGAGATGTTGTCATCCCCCAGTACCCAGCCACAGGCTTTGCTGCCCTTTGGGAGCTGTTTGAATGATGCTAGATCCTCTCTTTGGCATTCGGTGGGGACCCAGATCTTCCTGATTTACGCTGGATTCAAGGGAGGCTGATATTCCTTTGGTCTCCCCTGTCTCTTGGGTTCGGCATTCTGATGGACAGCTTAGCCACGCCAAGGTGGCTTGATGTAAAACAACCTTTTTGCTTTCTACAATAGCAAATTCCTATACTCTAGATGCCCATGAGTTGAATAGTTTTCCAGGGAGATAGTTCTGAGGAGGGGGGTATGGTCTGCCACTCACATTCCTTTGTCATGCCAGCTGTCTTTTGAACTATGTCTTACCCCAGCCCTGCAGGATTTCCCTGGAAGATCCAAATTCCTTCCTTTCAGTTACACAGAGTATCCTCTCTCTGCCTGAGGAAGTTGATGGGCCTGGGTGGGGAGGGGGCTCACCTTCCATTCTAGACATGCGTCCGTCGAGTCATTCAAGGACCTTTATTCAGACAGACAATTCTCTGCCTAGAAGAGTCTGGACTTTTTCATTAAGGCCACCACATTGTCCTCTTTCTTTGCATATGATTGACATTTAATTTGTCAAAGAGATTTCACAGCTAGACATGGTTTGATAACCACTGAGTTTCCTTTTGACTCTAACATGCTGAGGGGCCTTTTGGATAGAGCCTCGCTCCCTCGGCCTTTTTCTCTGTCCTCGGTTGTCATTCTACTGTATTGGGCTAATAGAAAGAGATTTTGTCATTTTGGGCAAATCTTCACGTTTTCCTCCTGTGAACCTGTGCTGACCATCTCACACAAAAGGCAATGGAAGAGCTCAAAACAAGAGTGCTAGGGTTTTAAGTCAAGAGTATTAGGTGCTTAGTCAGCATGGAATGGCCTCTGGGCCTGAGACTCAAAAATAGAAGCCAGTGTTTCACCAGAAATCCTCTCCGCATTGTAATCTGACAGAAAGGAGAGCACCTGACCCTAACTCAGTGATTCGAGGGAGGATTTACAGAGGTAAACTCAGTTGCAGCTAAGGTGTTGGCATGGCCCGTGGTCTCTGTCACCTCCTGTGTCACCAAGGATGCCGAAATGACACATCCTGACAGGGCTGCAGATTTGGCCAAGATTTATGATCTAATTGCTGGTGGGGGTGGACAGAAAGGAATGCAACCGGCCTGGAGACCAGCTGCCCTTGGGAAGCAGGTTGAAGGGACAGGGTCCCCAGGGTAGAAGGAACTGGCTCTTTCAGAATCAGCAAGTAAGACCAAAGTGAGTTCTCAAAAACCCAAAATCAATTCTACAAATAACCAACTTGTTTAGCTTACCATATTTCTCCATTGTAGTTTTACAGTTGAAAAGCTTTAATGTGACTGTTTTAATAGCTTTGGCAAAAATGTTCATTTTGGTTACTGATTACAAAATAAGGCTTTTTCTTTTTAGAAAGTTTTGCTATAAGGCACGTGTGTTTGCTAGAGAGACAAAGAGAGACAGAAAGTGAGAAATCACCCCCTGCGGGATGGCCATGCCACAATGCCTTCTCCTCCATTCTCCTTTCAGGATCTTGGGTATATACACACATGCGCCTGGCGTGAGTTTCAGGTCACCGGGTCCAGGACTTGAACCACAGTAAACTATGTGAGAGTCCAACACCTTAACCACTATGTTACCTGCTGCCCCTAAGACTTTTACATTATGACTGAATCTAAAAGTATTCTGCTGCATCAGAGACAGGCAAGCAAATTTTAAAATTCTGGAGGTTTGGCCAAAGAGAAGTCACTATAAAGTTATTTTCCTTATAAAATACTTATTTTTCTGTAACTCACATTTCCATACTTGTGATAAAATCTTCTTTGTTACTCCTGATTTCTTCCTGTGCTTTTGAATGTATTTTTCCTTCTTTTTTTAATTGCCAAAGGGCATGTACACTCACGAGAGAGAGAGAGAGAGAGAGAGAGAGAGGTAGATTAACCTCTGATGGGGCATGGTAACACCACAGTCCCTTCTCCTGTCTCTCTCCGTTCTTTCAGGATTTTGAGCATGCATGTACGCATACCCAGCGTGTTTCTCAAGCCACCAGCAATGGAATTTGAACCACGGTCAGCCATGTGGGATCCACTCTCTTCTTCACTAGGATATAGGGACAGTCTGGAATGTATTTTTTTATTTTTAAGAATTTTTCAGCATTTTAAGCTTTTTCTTGCTAATCTCTCAAATTAGCCTTATATATATTTCTAGCAATTGAATTTTTGAAGATAAACTAAAGAAATCGGAATGAGCTGAAAATATGTTTCTAAAAGATTGAATTTTTTTTTATCTTCTAATAAGGAATAAGTTGTGTTAACTCAGCAGTAGTTGCAGAGAGATTAGACATCAAATGTTAAATCCATTCAAATGATGAGAAAGAAAAAAACTCTCATGTGGTGGAGTCTATGCTTGTATCTCAAATTTCACATATGTTAACTAAAAATACGAAATGGCTAAAGTTTAAAAACCCAAAGTGCTGGGCCAGCAGGTGGCACAGTGGTTAAGGTTCTGGACTCCCATACAGTTGACCGTGTTCATGCCGGGTGCATATACACGCATGCCCCAAAATCCTGAGAGAAGAGTGGAGGAGAAGGGACAGTGTGGCATGGCTATCTCCTCTGGGGAGTGATTTCTCACTTTCTCTCTCTCTCTGTCTCTCTGGCAAGCACACGCACCCTATAGCAAACATCTCTCAAAAAAAAAAAAATTCTAGAAGTGCTAAAAGATTTACAAAAACAATAACAAAGAGACATGAAAGGGGATTTCCAAATTGATTTTAAAAATTTATTAGTAACTTAAAAGCACTGTATATTAAATGGTGACATTTTGGTTTCTGATAATGAAATATTTATTGTTTAGAAAATCATATTTAATCACTGAAAATAAAAAATGGAAGATTCCAAAAGCAATTAATAGTTATCTTTAAAGTAGTTAAGAGCACTTTTGCTAATTAAGGGGTGGACACTTGAGCAAATTATTTGACCAACCATCTTCATCAAATTTGTGAATTGGCAAATTGAGTTTCAGTGTGCTGGCTTTTGGTGAGTTGAGGATATGTTGGGTGGACACAGACATGAGTATTTGCAGATGTGGACCTGCCTCAAGTCTGTGCAGTAGAAAAGCAACATCACATGTTAAAGAAAGGGCAGGCCAGGGACCAGCAGTTGGCGCAATGGTTATGTTGCTGGACTCCCATGTAGTTGACCACAGTTCGAGTCCCAGACCTGGTGGCTTAAACTCACACTGGGCATATGTGTGTGTGTGCCCAAGATCCCAAGAGGAGAATGGAGGAGAAGGGATTGCGGTGTGGCCATCCCCCCTGGGGGTGATTTCTCGCTTTTTCTCTCTCTGTCTCTGTCTGTCTGTCTGGCAAGTGCATGCACCCTATAGCAAAAACCTCTTCAAAAATAAATAAATAAATAAATAAATAAAAGAAAGAAAGAAAGAAAGGGCAGGCCAGCTGGTATGGGATGCTGGGAAAGGTCTTGAGGATTGTGGTGGAGTCTGGGTCAAGCAGTCAACCAGGGAACGTAGTCACCTGGCTTATGGGTCCTGAGGGCCCCACGGAGACCGCACACCAAACTGACTGTGGTGATCAACCCGTCTCCCCCTGCTGCCTCGCCCTCTTCAGCTTTTCCTGTCACCAGTAGTGACCTCATCTGTTGACTTGTTTATCTCCCCTCACTAAACCGTAAGCTCCATGAAATCGGAACCGTCCTCTTTCTTCACTGCCATGTCCCCCAGTGCTGAGGAGAACCGGGGACACCTGGAATGGGCTCAGTAAATACTGGGTTGTCGGAAAAGTCATGACACATTTTGGTACAGGGAACATAGAAGAAAACATGAGTTTTCTGCAACGCAGCGTTTGCTGTGTGAGTGAACAGACAAGTGCACGAGTACCATCAAAGGAGTTCCATGTCTTTGCCACAGCGCCGACCTTTCTCTTCCGCCTGTTCCTCTTTTCTTTGACTGTACTCTAGTCATAATGAGATTTCCGGTTTCCTGAAGAGGAAAAAACAACTACCCACAGACTGATGTTTCTTACTTGACCTGTATTGTTTTTTTCTTTTAAAAATCATTCACCTATTTATTCCATGAGTAGGAAAGATACAGAGAGAGAAGGAGACAGAGAGACAGCAGCCCGATGAGGTCCTGATGCCACAGTCCATCCTCTTTCTGCAAATCCATATCACGGGCACATGTGTGTTCTACGTACTCGAAGAGGCCTGTGGATATGAACAGACAACCTTCTCATGCTGGTCTGCCTCACAGCGCACTGTGTGTTGCCAGTGTGCCAGCAATCACCCCCTGTGTTTGTTTCATTCACTGCTCTTCCTCCCCTGCTCTTGTCCACCACTCGCCCACCTCTGGAGTCTCTTTCCTGTCTCTAGCGTGTCATCTCACTGTTCAGTATCTCTTTTGATAGCGCCTACATGGGTCACTCTGGAGTATAGCTATCCGTTCCCATGACTCTGTCCACGCTCTGCTGCATGCTTATTGTCAAACCAGACCTTGCTCCTCTTCGTTTCCCCAGCACCTTCTATAGGGTCCCAGTAAAGAGTTGTGGAGTGAGTGAGCCCACCGCTGGGAGATAGGTTGGCTTTATTTGTCCATTGGGATCTCGAGAAGGGGATAGTCAGCATCTCACCTCTCTGTAGCTCAGCTGGCCCGGAGATGATGGATTACCCAGAAGATAGTGACTTATAGCTGCTGGGGGCTTGCCCTAAGGAGGGGGATCAGATGGAGACACCTGTGAGCCGCGTGTTCTTCTGTACCAGGAGTAAACTAGACACAAGAAAAATGCCCCGTGAGTGTTTCCTGGAGCTCTGCTTATCTTGCCACTCACAGGGCCAGACGAGCAACCCAAGGGAAAGCAAAGGACCCAGTTCAGGGCTCAGCCGTGGTGGTGGTGCATAGGTGGCCCACAGCTGGGGAAGACAGAAGCCACGCGGGAGGCCCAGGCTTAGTTCCCAGGCCAACCTGAGCATGCAAGTGTGCTGACGTGCACTGGAAGTCTTAGGTAACTGGAAGACTGGGGGAGGAGGATTGTGGTACCAGGGCCAGCAGATGGCGTAGTGCTTACATTGCTGGACTCCCACATGGCCAACTGAGGTTCGAGTCCTGGACCCGGTGGCTTAAATCCAACACTGGGTATAAGGGCATGCGTGCCCAGGATCCTAGCAAGAGAAATCACCCACTAGGGGGTGATTTCTCATTTTCTCTCTCACTGTCTCTGTCTCTCCCTCTCTCCGGCGAGTGCATAAACCCTAAGGCGAAAACCTCTAAGGAAAAAAAAAAAGGGAAAAATAAAAAAGAAAAAGAATGCCTATCTCAGTTGTCTCTCCCTTTTCCTTTCTCTCTTAAAGAAAAAACAACATACTGAATTTAGCCACTGCGTGATGACCCTGTCTCTGTTCACAACCTTGCCACTAATAGTGGGGTAGGTTTGTATCCGCACGAGAAAGATGGGGAGAGGTATGTGAGATGATGAAACCAGGGACGGCACTCAGAGACGGCCCTGCCGCACATGCATCAGACGGAGGCTGCGATGTCTTCGTTCTGAGCTGTCCTCGCTGTCAGTACCTGGGCGCACCCGAATCCTGAATCCTCGTCTCTGACTGCTTCGCTTTCAGAGAGCAGGTGGGCTGGGGAGGAGGAAAAGCCTCGAGCTCCTCCTGAACGTTTACGTCTGCTGCCTCTGCTCCCCATGGCCCCAGACCCTCCTCCCCCAGGTAGGGGCAGCCACGCGTACCTCCATTAAAGATGGGTAGCCCCACGGTCAGGGTGTTCCAGCCTCCTTTGTCGACTGTGTTAGGACAACCTGATTGTTTGCGGAGAAATCTCTGTAATCCTTGGCTGAATGGGAGCAGACAGAAGGATCCAGGGGATTGTAAAAGTCGTTTCTGCCTCTTCCTCGGTACTCCGGAGATGAATGGATTCCTTTTTCATTTCCTTTTTAATTTGCTGTAGAGTGCGTTTACTCATGCGAGAGAGACAGAGACAGAGAGAGAGGGAGTGAGAAGGTGCTGTCACCCTCAGAGGGTTTGGCTACACTGCAGTCCTTTTTCCTCCATTCTCCCCCTGGGATGTAGGGCAAACATGCGCATTCACCCAGATTGTCTTTCAAATGGCTGGGCCTAAGACTCAGACCACACAGTCAGCCCTGTGCAGTCAGCTGCCTGGACCACAATTGGAGCAAGTCACCCCAGGTCCTCTTTTGCCTTTGGCCACTTTTTATTCTGAGGACTCACGTTCCATGACTTTTTGGGTAGAGAGCTTCTGTAATCCTCGTCTTTGGCATCACCATTGGAGGGCGGGAAGCTTCTGTGAAAATGCACGGAAATACCTACAGAAAAACGCCTCCCGGAGGCATCGGCCAAACAGTAAATGACAAGGCGCCTTTGGGCATAAATCTAGAAAGGGCACCTGTGAATTATAAATGACACCACAGGGGTTTTTTTCCTCCCCCAAAATACAGTTTTTGACTATTTGACACGGTGGGAGTTTAGGTGGTCGTCTTTGTCATTTTCATCAGATTGAATACACTTTGAAATGGAACCAACATTGTTAGCACAGCCTTGGGGATGCTATTTTTTCCCACTCGAAGACCAGCCTCACGAAAGAGAGTTTAAATTTTAGATACGTTCAGTCCCTGAGAATAAAAAAAAAATCCCGTGGAAAATGATTCTTGGGAGGACATGCAAATGTACCAGTGACCTACATACGGAGCCTGTAAGCCCATCAGATTGCTTCTGCCACTTGAAACCTGGGGAAAAATGGAAAAATAAAATTGCATTTTATATGTTGTGCTCCAAAAGGCACTGAGATTTTTTCCAGGGCTGTTTTATAAAAGATTATTCAGCAGAGGTACTTTCCTTTGTCTCTGTGGGTTTGCCAAATGACACATTTAAACGAGATGTGGTTATTCATGGAATAAAGTGTGAAATTATTACATTTGTTGTTTTATTCTAGAGTTTTAAAATTGCCGTATCTTAAAACCTATGGCAGCAGTAGCTTTAAGAAAACAGAGAGGGTAGGGGCTGGCAGGTGGTATGGTGGTTAAGGCTCTGGACTCCCACATGGCTGACTGTGGTTTGAGTCCTGGACCTGGTGGCTTGCTTTCTCACTTTCCCCTCTCTTTCTCAGGTTAAAAGAATATTCATCATAATGATAAAAGTTAAATAAAATACTTTTTAAAAAAAACCTGGGGGGCAGGGCCCAACAGATGGTGTAATGTTTATGTTACTGAACTCTCAAGTAGTTGACCGCGGTTCAAGTCCTGGACCTGGCAGCCTAAAACTCAAATTGGGTTGTGTATGTGTGCGTGCACAAAATCCCAAGAGGAGAATGGAGGAGAAGGGACTGCAGCATGGCCATCCCTCCAGGGGGTGATTTCCTGCTTTCTGTCTCTCTGGCAAGTGCATGCACCCGATAGCAAAAATCTCTCCTAAAACAAACAAAAAATGGGGTAGGATTCAGTAGATGCATAAAGAGGGCACATGCATAATATACCATGGCCTCTTTCCTGTGGCTGGACAGAGGAGGAATTCGCAGAGGTTCGTGTGGGATTAATGAAGCTGATTAACAAAGGGAGCTCAGGCTGCAGCTGGGTGGGTGCTCATTTTCCGGAGGTCTGCATGGGCTGAGGCACCCTTAAAGTGCGAGCTTCATTTCTCTGGCCACATTGGATCCTGCCTCCTTCTTCTTCTACTTTCCAGCAGGCTTGGACACTGTGCCCCTTAGATAAAGATGGCACAACTGGCTGCAGCCCTGGGAACGTGGGTGCGTAAAGTCGACCAGCAGAGATTTTGACCCACAACGATTTTGATCAGCAAAATTTGATCCAGAGATTTTGATCAGAGATTTTGATCCAGCTAAGATTTTGATCCACCAGGTCCCAGAAAACAAATGGGAGCTGATCGTGGGCACAGAAACAACAGGGGTGAGCGGCGAATTGTCACATGACTCAGACCACTTAGGATTCAGGCGATGACACCTACTTCATACGAGCTTAGGGACACCAAAAGTGCACACTGGTCAGGGGGAGGGTTTACTGGGGAGTATCTGGGAAGTGTAAGATAGGTCTAGAAAAATAAAAGGAATCAAGATCATTTTACACCTCCTGCTTCTCTGCTTTGAACTTGTCCTCATTTTCTTTTTCTGTTAATTCATTGATGAAAATTATTTTTAAGAGGTTTTTTTTGTTTGTTTGTTTTGTTTTGTTTTTCCATAGGGCACATGTGCTCACCAGACACACAATGACACAGCAAGACAGAAAGTAAGAAATCACCCCACAGTGGGGGATGGCCATGCCGCAATCCCCTCTCCTCCACTCTCCTCTTGGGATCTTGAGCACACATACACACGTGCCCGGTATGAGTTTAAAGCCTCCAGGTCCAGGACTCAGACCACAGTTGACCACGTGGGTGCCCAGCAACGCAACCATTGTGCCATCTGCTGGTCCCTGTTCTCATTTTCAATGAACTTTCTCCATATGGCTGACTAAATGGTCAGCAGTCCTGTGCCTACAATCCTCAGAACTCTCAGTCCACCTGCATGGAGGAGGAACTAGCAAGCTGTCTCCTACTTGTAAATTTCTTGGAATGGCTCCGGCATGTCGGTGCAATGTAGGGGGAGTCTACTCTTGGTCACAAATCTAGCCTGTACACCAGCGAGGAGAGGGTAGGGCACTTGACTGGCAGCCCAACCAGAATCCCTGGAAGTTGGGGAAGGAATTTCCCAAGTAAAGAAAAGATCAACCACAGAGGTCTTTGAGACCCTGACATCAAGATAGGAATGGGAAAAAGGGAGAAGCATGAAGAATCTCACTTATCTGGGACGGTATCTGCGCTTTTCTCTAATCCAGTGCCGTAGGGAAGCTGGAGTCTGTGTGTTTCCTCCTTGGTCTCTCAACTGTCCCCGGAAGCAGGTGGTGGCTAGGACCTTCATACCTCAAGGGCTAGATTAGAGCTGCTGGGTTGACTTCTAAAGGTCCACAGCAGCGTCCCTTTCCCAGGCTGTGCTAAGGCTTAAACTGTGGGTTAAGTAGATGGAGCTATTTTAAACCCCCATGGCGGTGGTGGGCATGGATCTATTCCGTTTCCTGTCGGACGCCTCGCATGTCTGGAATCTCTCTTCTCTGCCTCCTTCCCACATTGTTTCCAGTCACCCACGTGTCACTGTCCTGAATTAACCTGGAGGTATTCATGCTGAGTACACAAATTAGAGAAGCTTGTTGTTTCTGAAATTCAGTTTCACTTTTTTTCCCCCCTTCTAGGAAAGGTTGAGGCAGCCAAGAATATATAGGTCATGTTTCCAATTATAAAACACCAGCGGTGCTATTTTTTCCTCCTGCACTAATAAAAATAGAAATGAACAAGGGAAGCCAAGTTGTCGTTACGAAGTCACCAATTTGGTTGTCACAACTGCCAGTCACCAAACGTCCTAGCTTACCTGCTAAGGACAGGGGATGCCTGACAACAGGGATGATGATGACGATGATGATTTTTTGGTAAGAGTCACTAGTTGGCACTCTCAGTAAGAAAGAATGGAAAGTGCTCCTTGTCACCAGACCTGTGAAAAGTTAAACAATTAAGCAGTTCAGGGAATGCGTGTTTTAGAAGATGTGGTCTTAGTCCATGAGACAGGGCATTATCAGGTAGATCGTTCTGAGCCCTTGAATGCCTAGAGAAGAGATGCTCCAGGGCGATCAAGGAGCCGGATGGCCGTTCCCAGGGGAACAAAATTGGCCAGGATTGTGGATAACAGAACAGTGCTTTATTTGCGGAATTCCGTGCTTCAGCGTGTTGTGATTCAGCTGCCTTGGGGAACGGTGAGAGGGAGCTGAGCTAGAGGAGTCTGGAATACGTGCTAAGGATTGGTCACTGAGGCGGGGAATTGCTATGAGCCATAGGTGAGGACCCTGGCATCACAGTTACAGGTGAGAAGCCACCAGGGCTGAGTTCACACGAGAACACAGGCGAAATGCGGCTCCTGGGCAGTTTGGGACGGGAACTTCTACTGAATGCAGACAGAGGGAGAAGTGATCAAATGCCTCCCCCCACTTAGTGCCCCTTTAACTCTCTCTTACGCGTCTACCACTTCAGAACAGGGTCTTTCACTTTTTACTTTCTGGCAGAGCACACATGTACTTGCGAGAGAGCGAGAGAGCGAGAGCAAGAAAGCGAGAGAGCGAGAGAGAGAGAGAGAGAGGAAGAAAGTGCCTCCCCCGATAACCACACAATCACATCACAATCCCTTCTCGTCCATCTCTCCCTCCTTTCAGGACTTTGGGCATGCTCACACATGCACCCAATGTGTTTTTCAACCCGCTGGTCCAGGACTCCATCTGTACTTTGGCCGTGTGGGAGTCAGCTGCCTTAACCACCACATCAATGACTGGCCCAAGAACAGAATCTTCACTGGAAGGAGATTTTTAAAGGATGCTTAGCTTTGTGCCATGACTCATTGACCCAGTTTCTGCCTGAGACAATGCATAGACTTCGAGGGCAGTCAGTGGATGGCAGAGGTGCAAATGGTAGGACTTGCTTGTTTTCTTTTTCTCTTTTCTTTTTTGGAGAGGTTTTTGCTATCAGGTGCATGCACTCACCAGAAAGACAGAGATGCAGAAAGTGAGAAATCACCACCCCCAAGGGGGGATGGCCATGCCACAATCCCTTCTCCTCCATTCTCCTCTTGGGTTCTTGGGTATGCATGCATACACACCCGGTGTGAGTGTAAGCCACCGGGTCTGGGACTCAAACCATGGTTGACTACATGGGAGTCCAGCGACATAGCCATTACGCCAACTGCTGGTCCCCATGCTTGTTTTCATTGCACACATAACTTCCTTCCTAGCACTAAGTGTAGCCATAGCAGCCCTGCCTGTTTGTGTCCCATTGAACCTTGCATCTAGAGTGTCTTCCAGCCACCCAGACAGGGCAGGCTGGGAGCGCTAAGGAATTAGCTCCTCCATGGCAGCTCTCATGGATGGCAGGTGGAAGTTCCTCCTCCTTTCTCTCGACCCTCACTCAGAGGAGGATAACACCCAGGCACTCTGGAATACTCCAGCAAGATTAAGCTTTAGATACCCGAAGAGAAAACTGGCTTCATGATGCCCTGTTCCTCGATGGCTGTCCTTCCCTATCCCGCATCTCTGCTCACCCTGCGGTTGGCTGGGATCCTCTCTCCTTGCAGCACTTCGATTCTCCTTTGTCTCAGATGAACCCAAAGTAAGGCAATATTATTAGCGACAATTTATTTTCTTTCTTTCTAATCTTTTATTCCTGAGTTCTTTTATTTACCTTACTGTGGTGGCCAGCACGTTTTGAAGTAGAAATGGCAATAATGGATGTTTTATTTCCTCTATTTTTATTTGTTTGCCATTGGCACGTGTGCGTGCCGGAGAGAGACAGAGACAGAGAGAAAGGGGGAAGTGAGAAATCACCTCCCAGGGTGATGGACATGCTGCAGCCCTTTTCCTCCTGGGATTTTGGGCATGCATGCAGGCACGCCCAGCGTGATTTTTCAAGCTGCCGGGTCCAGGACTCACACTGCACGGTTGGCCACTTGGGATCCAATGCATTAATCACCATGCCACCTGCTACCCTAATTTCTCTCATTAAAAAAAAAAAAATGTTCTTAAGAGAACGGATGATTTTATTACTTGCAAACTTGTACCACTTGTAGTTTGACTGCCCAGAAATGCTGCTGATGAAAATAAGGATAAAAACACACAAAATAATGAAGTATTCTGAGCACGTTCAGTGTGTTTACATTTCGCACTTATTTAAACTTCACAGACTTTCTACTCAGACATGGTTATTTTGCTCACTTTGCAGGCTGAAAAAAACGAAAGCTTAGAAAGACTGAGCAGTATATTGGGACCAGCGGAGGGCGTAGTGGTTAAGGCACGGGACTTCCATGTGGCTGACTGAGGTCCCAGTCCTGGACCCAGCAGCTTGAAACTCACACCAGGCACATGTGCGTGCATGCCCAAAATCCCAAGAGGAGCATGGAGGGGAAGGGATTGTGGCCTGGCCGTCCTCCTGGGGGGTGATTTCTTCCTTTCTGTCTCTGTCTCTCTCTGTGTCTCCAGTGAGTACATACACCCTATAGCAAAAAAGTCCTCTTAAAAAAAGAAAAAAAAAAAAAAAAAAAAAAAGAGCAGTATGATCAAGATTCTGGGGACCAAAATCTTCATTCTTAACCATGTCAGTACATAGCCCCAACGTGAGCTCTTAGTGTATATATTCATAAGATATTTTATAAATTTATTCTCATAAAATTTGAAAATATGACTGGTACATCAACAGTTATGCCTACTTTAAAGAATTTTTTTACTAAATATGTAGTAAATACATACTTACGAACGAGAATGTTAATAAATTAATTTGCCTAAGCTGACACCAATTTTGAATACTGGTCAGCGTCATTAGTGAACAATAATATCTTTTATTGATTTGTATATCGTAGCCATTTAGGTTGACTACCACCCAGACCTGTATTTGGTGTGGTTGGTTTTGTCCTTGTCCAAATTTCTTGTTTGTTTGGTTGGTTTTGCTCTTCTTTTTAACAGTGATGTGAACCTATGTCTGTGTTAGCAATTTCATTGTTCGTCAGTTACAGGGATGTCTTTTAAGTGGTGTCTACGAAACCAGGAGAGATAACAAGGTCACACCCTACCTCACATCATCTTCTCTCCCATACAAAATGCCCACATGGAGACTCAGAAAGATTTATTCCCATGAATCACAAAGGTTTTCATCCTAATATTAGAGGCACAATAATACCCCGGGACTAGGGGGTTGATGAGATCAATTTACAGAGTAAGGAGCAGATCAGAGAATTCATATCTGATTTCGTATGTACTGGACCATTTCCTGATCCTTGTCAGCAAGTTTCAAATTAGTTCCCAAGGGATATTGCCATGGGCTTCTAGAGGAAATTATTTTCTGCATTTTCCTATTGTTTCATAATGAGCATTCTATTGCTCATTAAAAATAGAACGACTCTTCACAAGCTTTGGATCTATTGTGGAATCCACTTCTCAGAAAGGCTCTTTAAGTTTTGGCCTTCAACCTCAGCTCTAAGAGGATGTTCATTTCTTATTCTGCAATTAGAATATATAGCTATTAATTCAGTCATCATTGAAAACTGATTTTCAGTGGCGTCTGGGAGTGAGTTCATACCAGCTCGAATGTCACATATTCAGAAAACTTTGAACCATTTGTTAAGCCCTCAGTAGCTCGGAATCAGCCGAGGTAGACGTTTTATACCCATGGAAATTGGCAAACCCTATAACTCAGAGTGTTTTTCTTCTTTACTCTTGAGAGCTCTCCGTTAAACATTTACCCGCATACCGCTGGAGCAGGCTGGAATTCTGTAGTATTCCTCTGGGCAGTTTAAAGGCATAACCTTAAACTCTGAGTAGCCTAATCTTACATATGTGTAGTTAACCAGGCAAGAATCTGGAATTATGCCCTACTCTGTGAATACTTGATTATATTAGGTGCTTGACGAAATCAGAGGTGACCTCCCTCTATAAGCTAGACGTATTTAAATATTTTACTAAGCAATGAGGTAAAATTTCAGGATGCCAAGAATCTTACAGATCAAACGGTTATGCAACTACTTATTTATTTTCCTCATCCCTCCCTACACAAACACACACACACACACACACACACACACACACACAGCTTACAGAGTGGCCAGATACTTTCTGCCAGAGTATTCAGCCCTCTGCTTATGAGATTAGTTATTTTTAATATTTGAACAGAACTTAAACTTCCTCTTTTGTATGTGGAACATTTTGAGGTCTTGGATTTATCTTAATTTAAAAGGAAGAAGGATTCCTTTCTTACTCTTGTCTATCCTAAGCTCCCCCAGCCAAAAAAAAAAAAAAAAAAAGAATAAAGAAAAATGATTGGTCATGATATCATCCAATCTGAACCTGCTACTAATGATTGGCAGTAATATCATTCAATCAAAACATTCCCTCAGTTGAGGTGAGATTAATGGACAGGCCCTTTGTTTCTCTTTAATAGCTGTAGTGGGGGCCAGCAGATGGTATGGTGGTTAAGGTGCTGGACTCCCACATAGTTGACCACAGTTCAAGTCCTGGACCTGGCAGCTTGCTAGCTCTCTCTCTCTGTCTCTTTGTCTCTGTCTCTATCTCTTTCTGATCAAATTAAAAAATAATAAAGTCAAATTAAATATCATAATTCTTTAAAAACATAGCAGTAGTAAATAACAAGCTAGTCCATATTTTGAACAGAATTTCTCCCAGAAGCTTTGTCAGTTGTTTCCTGTTCATTGGTTCCTAGAAGTTAAAACTGATCTTTCTGAATACCGTGCACAGACCTTAAGGACGTAAGTTAAAAATAATAATGAAAAAAATAACCATTTGTTTTCTTTTCTCTTTCCCACGAGGGGGGGGGATTTCCGATGAATGTCAGTGAGGCTCCAGACCTGTGGGAGGAATTTGACCACGGGTCTCTGGGAATATGTACACCGTGTAAACGCTAGCTCAGGTTAGCACAGGTGTCAGTCACGGAGTGAGCCTGTCCAACGTCGCCTCCCTCTACATCCCTGCCCAGGGCTGGTCTGAATCCCCTGCGGAGTCCCCAGAAACCCTTCTGCTAATTGAATGTCTCGCATCCCATTTCC